TGGTTGTTCTTTTGAGTCCTTTTTTGATCTTTTTCTTGGAATATGATCTCTAGATTTTACATTGAACACTGGAGTGGCAGCCATGAAAAACTTTGTAGTGAGCAAGTCATTAAACTCCAGTGAAATCCCTTGTGGTGTACAACTAGGTAATGGAGCATTGTTCAGGTCTTTCAACATATGCATCTACCCGGTTTATCTTCTGCTGATATTGTTTCAGGGCAGGGCCAAATGGACAATCAAGCGCAAATCTAACTTGCACTTCTGTCTGATTACTCTTGAACTACAATTTGTTTTCTAAACTTTCTTTTTTGGCCATCTATTGTTGTTTAGATTGGTACACAACTATAACTTTATTTTTTTTCTTTTTTATTTTATGTTGGATGATACAAGGTAATTGAGTTCTTTTCTATTCTTTACTCATCTGGCTAGATATGTTGTTTGTCTCCACCTGCTTTTATATTTACTAAATGAAAATTTTAATTAAACAACTCAAATAAGTGGTTAACAACATTTGCAATAATTTTTTATAAAAGGCAGAAGCCCTCTTTAAGCTCCTAAACTTGTCCTAAAATAACATGTAAGTCCTTAAACTAAATATAAAGCAAATAAGCTTTCAACTTTACTAACAATGTAAATAAACTTTTTTTATTCATGGATGTTCATGGTTTTAATGTGATACTAAATATAAAATACCGTTTGGTTAGTCTTTTGAGAAAGGTTTATTTGCATCGTTAGTCGAGTTAGAGAATTTATTTCTTTTATTTTTAGTTTAGAGATTTAAATGTTATTTTGAGGTAAGTTTGAGGGCTTAAGAAGGGTTTTTGCCAAAAAAAAATCAATATTAATTTTTTCCAATTAAGCGTCAATTTCTTCTTTTTGCTGAAAAGTTTCCGACCACCCAAACGCCCACAAAGAAGGTATAAAAGTCCGCCTATTTGAGGCGTCTTTCAGTGCGTCCTTCACTCTCCCTCCTGGCGGCCCCGCCGCAGTATTGAAATTCCGGCCAAATACCTCCCCAGCATCACCTGGTAATCTCTTTCTCTCTCTCCTCCATTGCATGCTTACACTCTTATGTTTTCTCTCGCTTGTGTTTCACTTTCATAATTGGCACCGTAATCAAAATTTCCCCTTTGATTGAGTCTCTACCAGGATTGTAAATTCAATATTTTTTGCACGTGGAGTTTACTCTAACGTAATTAATCACAAAAACAGACAAGGGTTATTGAAAATGGTGAAATTTAACTACTTTGTCCTTGTTGGACATTCCTTTGTTCTCAGGAGAGTGTGAGAAGGCAATATTGAAAGAGAGAGATTTTGCTTTAAGGGTTCCGGAGAAGTTATAAATAAAATATGGAAATTGAGAGCAGTGTTGACAGGATTAGTGACTTACCTGATGGAGTTCTTTGTCACATCCTTTCCTTTCTTCCAACAGAAGTTGCAGTTCTAACCTCTATACTGTCAACAAGGTGGAGGTATCTTTATACTTTGGTTTCTAGTCTATACTTTGAGACGGGATTCTGGGATGGTTATGATGAGGAGATTGATGCTGAGAAACCAAACCAGTTCATGAATTTCATAGATAGAGTTTTGTTCTTTCGTAACAGGCCTTCTATAGTAACCTTCCGTCTTGCATGCTATCAATATGTTGATCCTTTGCGTGTTGATGCGTGGATGCGTGCTTTAATGTGGCATAATATTCAAGAACTTGATCTATCCAACTATGATGATGGGTTTCGGGGCCTGCCCCTGCCTGCTAGTTTATTTTCTTGTGAGACACTGGTGGTTCTGAGATTGAAATTAAATTTATATGATCATGATTTGAAAGTCCCAACCAGAATTTGTCTCCCAAATCTTAAGGTTCTTCACATTCAAGAAATTATCCTTTCAGATGATGGTTCTGGTGAAAAACTGTTGTCA